GAACCTACCGAAACTTCCGTGTCCGGTAAGCACCTGCGTCAGGCGGTAGGTGAGGACGCCGTAGCGTCTCTCAAGCCACTCCTCAAAGAGGGGACTTACCGCTGCAATGACAGCGAGCCCAGCCTTCGGTTGCGACAGTCGTTGCTGCCATTCCGCCATGAGATCACGCCGGAACTCATCCCGCCACGCATTAATCTGGCGCGACAGCGGAGATTCGCCCCGGCGACGAATTAATACATACCTACGTATTGAATAAAGGTAAAAAACTGTATTACTATTACATGGGACTCATAACAATTAAATAATGAAAAGTGGGTGTTACATTGTACCACTGTACAGAGTTGTACATTTCGGCACTTAATGCCACTGCATTTAGTGCGAAATGTGCAACTCTGCCTACCCCTTCAGGGATAAAAAAGCGTGATGTTATGTTATGTTAAAACTATATTTTTTACAGTTCCTAAATACCTACCTAGTTTCGAAATTTTATAAAGTTCATAAGATTCTCATACAATTCCGGTAACACATACCTACTTATTCAGTATTTATAAATATTGACTATTTACCCCAAATACACGCTTATCTCTATGTGATATGATATGAGGTATAATAATAATGTTCTTTATTTCTAATGCCGACCTTAGTCCGGCCCCGTTTAAGCAATAAATTGCATATGTGTGTTATTGGCTTCACTTTCAGGTAATTTTGGGTTTGCTTATCTATTTTTAGTCTGTGGTCGAGAGTCGAGACCAAGTCGAGACACCCGCCCAGCAACTATTTCGCAAGTTTTGTGGTAACCCTTATACCTAATATACTCTTTGTTGGTAACCCTTGATAACTCGCTGTCAGCCGTCTGTCTGAGCTTGTTAAATATCTATGGTCTGAGCCGTCTGCCTGCTGATCTGTCAACCAAATGTCAAATTCAGGCTGTAAGCTGTATGGATGTCTGTTCTGTCACTTTTATTTACCATGTCATAAATTTAATAAGTGAATTTACAGAATTTAATATATCTAAGTCAATGTTAATTGCTTCGCAAATATAATTAATTGTTACCACTCCATAAGACAAAGATGGTATGGAGGACAACTCGACAACTTGTAAGAAGCCAACATGGCAAAACTGTGTTCACTGTCCTCGACTACTTTTCACTTCTGCCACGGAATTTGAAAGGTTATTTAATTATATTATATTTAATAATAACGATAAGCCCATTTTGACGTCGTAGTTTAATGAATGTTCTTAATTCCAGGCACATACAAGATAAGCACAGCATCAAAGAGGGATCTATCATACTGTGTCAGTATGGGCAAAATGGTATGTGTTCCTCTCTGCAGTTTGGTGATTTACGGAAAGCAGGCTTTAAATACCACGTAAGGGAGTACCACTTGTACATAAAGGATTCTAATGACGACTGGACCTTCTATTCTTCCTCACAAAATCTTCCAGCAGTATTAAATGATCCTAACAGAGGTAAACAAAGCAATTTTTTTACTAAGACGTGGGGCGACAGTTTTGTTGAAAAGGTTGATATATATCCTAGTCCATATTTACCTGAAATCACATTAGCACATTTCGAATCATATTGCAAACGAGTTGCTAAAAAATATCGTCGTCATTGCAGACTGAAAGAAAGTGTTCCAGTTAAAAATAAAACTCCTGTGGTAGAAAATGTTTGTGAGGTGCCTAATATATTCTATGAACAATCATTACCATTAAATAATCCAGAAGTATTTAGCCAAGTATTTCCTAGTCTATGTAATTCTGAAGAACCTAGTATTGCAATTAGATCTCTTCAGGAAACACTAAGTACATACCTAGACGTTATTGAAATGAAAATCTCTAAACAAGTAGCTCAAAAATCAGATGCATTTTTTCATGCTATGTTGTCTCACGACACCATAATGGAGCAGATGGCTAGAGCTGTGAATACTGTAAGGAAAACCAGACAGAACATAACCCATGTTAAAGGTAATTTAACTGAATGTCCTCTGAAATTAGCCAGTTTGACAAGAATTAATCACAATTTGAACGATGTCCACGATCTTTTAAAGTTGATGGGGACTGTACAGCAAACGCAACCAATGATACAACTTCTATTGAGCACCTCTGATTATGTAGCAGCCTTGGACTTGATTAGCTCCACCCAGAAGGTATTATCAACACGCTTGTCAGGAATACAAGCATTTCGTCATTTATCCCCCCAACTGACTGAAATGAAGAGATTGATACACAAGATGTTAAGCAATGAATTTTTAAGGTTCATTGTCACAGACCTCAATAGAACCCCGAAAGATGAAACAGAAATACCAGAAAGAGAAAAAATTGTATCAATAGTTTCTGGAATCCTTCGCCTTAAGGAATTAGATTTTATTGATACTTTCAAAATAGAAGCAATGACATCTATTCAAGCTACAATCAAACAATCCGTTATAGAAATAATTTCTGAAAGAGATGGGAACACAGAAATTGTTTTAAGAGGATCTAATGCAGACAACATGTGGCTGCTGTGTAATGAAGGGATAACATTTCTGCAAAAAGTTACTCCAAATTTAATCATTTTATTCAAAAGAATATTGTCCTTACACAACCTGATATTAGAAATTACTCAAATGGATGATGTTACTGGCAATGATAGTGAAGATGTGTGGTCATCTGAGGAACTAGTTGCTGTGGAAGAAAAGTTAAAAAAAATGATAGGATCCCTCTCTGACTATTGCAATGAAAGATGTGCTAATCTTATAGTAACTAAAACTGACAAAGACTATGTTTTTTCTGATATGTCTCAATTATCAACCTTGTCTAAACTCATCGAAAACTTCTGTGATGAATGTGAAGAAATCACTGGACATTGTAGTAATGCAATGAAGCTAGCTCTAAGAAGCTATGCTATGAAGTATATACAATGTTTACATGCTGAAAGAAGAACTCAATTGACTTCTGCTCTAAATACAGAGAGATGGAAAGCTGCAGATGTACCTTGTGAGCTACAGAGTGCAATAAATATTATTTATGAATCAGGCGAAATACCAAGTGCTGTACAATATGACAGTGGCAAACCCGATGGAAAATATTTATTAATTAATAAGGAAAGTTATGCTGTTGTAGCAACAGTACAACTATTAATAAAAATATTGTTGGAATATTGTGATGCAACTAAACAATCTCCTGTCATTGTTCAGTATTTGGTTCATTGCATGTTGGAATTGATCCGGTTATTCAATTCTCGGTGCTGCCAATTAGTCTTAGGTGCTGGAGCAATACAGAGTGCTGGCTTAAAAACTATTTCTACATCAAACCTTGCTTTGGTTTCTAGATCCCTACAGGTTGTCATGTGGTTTTTACCTAAGATAAGAGGGTTGCTTGAGAAACAGCACTCTAAAGATTTGTCACTTAATGGTTTTAGTAATATAGAGAGTGATATAGTAAGCCATAAGCAAGAAATAGAGAATAAGATTTGTCTCATAGTAAGTAATATGCTTGCATCTCAACTGAACGGGTGGGATGCTAAACCACCAGTTCCATCTCAAACATTCCGAAATATTTCTAAACATTTAGTTAAATTACATGAAGCACTTATTGATATATTTCCCAATGAACAGATAAGAGCCGTTTATAAAAGAGTACATGATAATTTCAAAGACAAGCTTAGAGAACAATTAGTGAAAATGAATATTGTAGCAAATGGAAGCCCTCAGCATGGTGTGGTCACTTCTGAATTAACTTTCTACTTACAAACCCTCAAAACATTACGGGTCATAAATGACAATGACGCAGAGGACAATATATTGTATGATATTTGGTTAAATTAAGTTTATATGAGAGAAAAAGTATTCTATAGCCATTTACGTTAAAAAAGTACTTTATCATTTCAAACAACATTTATACCTAGTTAAAAAATTAATGATGTTTGTAACTCTGGAACAAAATAAACTTGGTAAAGGCCAAAGAAAACTTTGTAAAACCTAATACTTACTTACTAATATGATTAATGGAATTGATGTATTTATGTATTGTGTAAATAAACATATAAGTTTAAATGATAAATGTACTTATTAGATTCTTATTATTTAAAGTATAGTTTAAACAGAACATCCCTAAAAATTGAAGTATCGAAAACCCTTTAACTGGCTGATTGTTTGTAAAGAAAATTGTAGGTGGATGCTGTATATATATATTTCAGTTGTTAATAAAAAAACAATCACATGTTGCACTTGCTTAACTTAATTTTTTCATAATTGTATTATTGCCTTATACCGGGCAGGATTCCTGACTCCCTGCTATACCTGAGAATTTTTAAAAAATTACCCGTGAATCGAACCCGAGACCACTTGTCCGGCAGTCGCGCTTGCGACCACTCGGCCAACAAGGCAGTGCTCTCAGTGCTTCAAGTGATGTTTTGATAATGAACTATGAGCTCCTATGCACTTTCGAAGTTTGCTTTTTGCGATGGTTCATCATTTTTTGTTTTAAACATTTTATTTGTAAAACTATTGTATTACCAAGACATAACCATTTTACTTCGGGACGAAAATGAAACGGATTTCACGGTGTATATATTCCAAATTATCATGGTATGATTGAGCAAAACAAATATAACATGCAACCATGCAAGCTATTTGATGCTTAGAGCAGATTATAAAACTGCCCAAACATTGCAGAGTGAATATCTTAATTCAATGTTATTACAGAACATAGGTACTTGACTTTAACGATACTTAAGTTGTATTTATATTATAATTTTGAAAAGGAGCATACATTTTATTTAGAGTACGAAAACCTGATGGTGATCTATAATTAATAAACTGAAGAATGGAGCTTTATTCGTTTCAATAAAAACTTAAATAAAATTAATAATCATTAAGTAATTTATATTATAATTGATTTATTTTATTTGTAGTATAAAAAAATCTTGTGCCTAATTTATTTGATTCTGTTGAAGTAATAACAAGTGAAATAAGGGCGTTAGGTGTACCACTTATAGATATAAACTAGTGCAGTCACTAGTTTTCTATTTTACACACTTACAAAATCCATGTAAAAAGACATTTGCTGCAAATGTGAACTTTTAATTAATAAATGTGATGAATGAAATTATTGTATTGTATCGAAAATAAATAACGTGATTTTGTTATTCCTTAGTATTTATTGTATATATTTAATAAACAACATATAAAAATATTAACAACCATTACTATTTTTAAGGAACTAAATAACACTAACTATGTACCATTAAGACAAAGAGCAATGAATGAGGTAATGTAAATTGTTTACATTGTGAAAATTTATTATTTTTATCACATTCATTTTTATCTTTGGCTATCCTCTTATATAATACATCCCTAAAATAAAATGTAGATTACAACGTCCAAATTTGATTGTTGCCTGCTTATCAAATGAAATACGTAAATACTCCATGAACCTGTGTATTTATCAGCATTCAACATTAATGGATTTGCAATATTGTAGGTAAATTTAGAAATATTTTAAAATGAAAATTAACGAGCTACTATATATAAACATAACATCGTGCCTTAACCCCCAAAGCTGTAAGTAGCAGTGCACAAAATAAAGTAAAAAAATATTAATTCACACTGAGGTTATTAATTGGTTCAGATTGGTAATTGATCAACCACTACTTGCGTCTCGCCACGCCCTTACCTAGTACAGCAGTATCAGTCTAATTACAAGAACTTGAAGAATTAATAAGGTTACAATATGTCATGTGCTTAATTCAACTTACATTACTTTCATCAACTTTTAACTATCATAAAAATATGATGCTAATGGATATCTTATAATGAAAGCTACACCTGTACAAAAACCTTGAAACATCATAAGCTTTTTAGTTAATTGTACTTCAGGTATTGGCCCTAATTTTATTAAAAATAAATTTATAAGTGTCATATTGTTTATAGTTATACTTTCTTCATCTTCAATCTTATCAATAAGATGTAACATAGTTAAGACACGAAGTATTAATTTAGTTAGTGCAGTCATTTCCTTTTTTACTATTATTGTTCTGCTTGCATGAAGTAAATCAGTCTCCTCACTATATTTTGGTAAACGATGCCTTGGACATGGAATAATGTGGAATAGTTGAGGCACCGAGTATAAAAAGTTTATAATTTGTGGCAAGAAAAACAGTAAAACTGTCTTACTAAAGTGACTTAATATAGCTACAACTGCAAATGTCATTCCAGAAACATAGCAAAATGTATCTCCTACAAACACCTTGGAAGGATACCTGAAAATAAAAAACAAATATTTATTTTTATACACAGAAATAAAGGCTTAATTAAACTTATAATATTATAGCCATATTATACACGTTAAGTATACACTGTTTGCAATGTTGAGTTAAATACATGTTCAAAATCAGCAAATTATCCTTCCTTGTGACATCACATCATCATATCTGCATGTATTTAACAATATTACAAAAAAATGACGCTTTGTTCAATTAGCCTTTCAAATGTTGATATAAACATGTAAAATAAATGGTGCTGCTGGCAACTAAAAATATTCCCCATACTTCTGCAATATTCTACACTAATAATAAAAAACGTACCAATTATGTTTTAACAATGCTAATGTTGTAGCCAGGTAAGGAATCATTATATGTAAAGAGAATGTGTGAGCTTTAAACTGATCTCCTTTCAGTTCAATTATATCAAAAAGAATGATTGATAATGCTATAACTACAGACTGCCCAACTTCAAGCCCATTGACACCAGCCAGTATATTTATAGCATTTGTACAGAAAACAGCCAACATTCCCATATAGACGTAATAGAGTACACCTACAAAAAAAAAGAAAATATCAGTTGTGAATAATCAGTCCTAATTTATCTTTTCAATGCTTTTTAAACAATCATACCGATATTGATGGAAACTCCCAACCATTGTCTCAGTGGAATTGGAACTACAAAAGTAGTAGAGTTAAAGTTAACATAATACACTACAAGCAAAGGTAGTGATGCCACTGTTGGCAATAACAGTTTATATCTCCATCGCAAATCTAAAACATCATCGGCAAACCCAAGGAGCAGCATGCAACAGATTGACAACAATCCAGCCAGAACTTCAGCAAACTGTAACGGAAAAAGGCCATATTATACAAGTCTTCAATTATAAAAATTCTTCTTTTAGGAAAATAGTATTGTACTGTTTTGTGGATAACATTCAGGTGCTAGTGTAATACCTTATCAAACTATAATGAGATAACACCCCTACATCCTGTTAAACACATAGTGTACACTTACTTCATTGTGAGGAAAGTGTTGCGTGTCCATTAAGCCATTGCCAAAAACAACGGGTATAAATAAAAAACTTGTTATTAAAAAGACACAACCAGATATGACACCTATAGCTTCTGGACTGAAAATATAAAATAATAAATGTTAACAACTGAAGTGGTTTACTATAAGTACCATACCTATATGGGATCAAACTGTATCTGTATACATAAGTAGTTATTTAAATGTCAATTGTAAGGATACATTGAATATTTACTTACATTTTCTTCTTACTAGTTTTACATAAATCTATTCCAAACAGACCGGCTTTAACAAACAGGTCTGTAAGATTAGGTATTAATTCATCTGTTATAAAGAAGGCCACCGCAGATAATATTAAAAGAATTATAATTTCCCACATCTTTCAGGTTATATTAGTTAGAAAAGTATCATCGGCAAAGGGATTTTTGTATTTTAACAACACGTCAAGTCTCTCGTTTAGTTGACATTAGCGTGACGTCTATAATTGACGTCTCATAATAATTAATTTGACATTTTTAAAAAATGAATTTCATGCTATTGGCCTTGACCTAAATTTTTCCAAGTGTGAGATATTTTTAGATGACTCTACCGACAGACAGATCTTATCAAAATTTAATACTTTTGCACCTAATATCTCGGTGGTTGATAAATGTTCACTTCGCCTCCTAGGTGCGCCCGTCTTCGAAGGACTATAATATACAATAGGACTCTTTTCCAAGTTTTATTGAAGAAAAAATTCAAAATTTTTCTGTCGTTTCAGAAAAACTATATCACATTAGAATGCATTCGGCTTATACTATTATTCGGTTTTGCTGCTTCGGTCCCAAATTTATGTATTTTTTGCGTTCGACCCACCTCTGGTCTGCACCCCTTCTTTTAGAAAAAATTGACCAAATCATTAGGCGAACCCTGTCCTTAATTTTGAATGTGGCTCTTGATGACCGAGCTTGGACTCAAGCCACTCTGCCTGTCCGCATGGGTGGGCTTGGCGTCCGTAAAATTTCCAGTGTAAGCCTACCGGCTTTCATATCTTCCGCCCTTGGTACTGAAGAATTAACCAGGAAAATTCTTTCTCAATCACTGGTTAATTTTGATGTACCATGTTTAGTGGAAGCTGTGAATGCTTGGAAAATCGCTTGCCCAAATATTGACCCCCCCGTCAAATCACATTCCCAGAGACAATGGGACGAGCCGCTCTGCAGAAAAGTGAGCGAAAATCTCTTGAACTCCTCTTGTTCAACTGCAGAGAGAGCTCGCCTTTTGGCTGTGGGTGAGTGGGAGTCGGGGTTATGGCTTCTTGCTTTACCTTCGTCTAACCTAGGTACTTTGTTGGACGACACCACGTTCCGCGCTGCAATTTGTTTAAGGCTTGGAGCTTCATTTTGTTCACCTCATCGTTGTCGTTGTGGTGAAGATGTCAACAGCCTTGGACACCACGGCTTGTCATGTAGCCGTAGTGCGGGCCGTTTTGCTCGACACGCAAGTATTAATGACATAATTCGTCGAGCTCTTGCCTCCGTTGGCGTGCCAGCTACTTTAGAACCTAATGGCTTGGTACGCGACGATGGCAAGAGACCCGACGGTATGTCATTATTCCCTTGGAAGATGGGTAGGGCTTTAGTATGGGACGCCACTTGCGTTGATACTCTGGCGCCATCCCATCTTCCAAGCTCAGCGTGTCGAGCCGGTGCTGCCGCTGCTGCTGCCGAGAACCTCAAACGGCGAAAGTATAATAGCCTGATTGGCAATTATGCTTTCGAACCGTTTGGGGTTGAAACTTTAGGGCCGTGGGGCCCAAGTGCACATCTTCTTTACAAAGATATTGTAAGGAGGATGGTTGACACTTCAGGTGATCGAAGGGCTGGCTACTACCTTGGGCAAAGGTTAAGCATTGCCATTCAACGTGGCAATGCTGCCAGTCTTTTGGGCACCCTACCTCACGGTAGCGATGAGGAAAATGTTTTCTTTGATGCCTTATGATTTATTTTTATTATTATTATTTTATTAAGGTGTAAATATTTTAGTTTTAAATTTGTTTTTTATATATATTTTAAGTTGTATATATTAATTTTTATCTTGTATTGTATATATTTAATTGTATAATAGTTATTATTAATTCTAGAAAGTGAATATAATTTGGTAAATGTATTTGACATTAGAGACTAAAAAAGAGTTTCAAGTTTTTTCCATGGTTTTTTCTATTTTTTACGTACGCTTCTGAAGACATCTATTGGCCCACCTTGTATTTTCAGTTTAGATTGGTCCTGAATGGTCCTAGCTAAAATTTAAAATAGATCGAACAAAAAGTTTGTACGCAGTTCTGAGAATTTAAAGAAACAAAAAACAATTTGGAGCCTGTTTGTTGATATTAAACAATCGAATACTAAGAAAACTTGGTTTTATTGGTTTACTTGGATTTAATTCTTGAAAAAGTGATTGATATCTTTGGTTTTGCAACAAACATTACTTAGTATAAGGTGAGGTTCTATCAATAATCTATGGATATTTCACCTGAAGTCGCCGCCCAAGCTGTGGCACTCATTCAGGCCAGACACAGCCAAAGAAACGTGAGTGCTCAACTTAATTTAAGTCAATCTGCGGTCTGAAATGTTTATGGGAGGTACCTAGAGACTGGCGGCTTTGTTCGTCGCCAAGGAAGGCCACGATCTCGGGTCACAACTGAAAGGCAGGATCGAATCATCGTGACGACCAGCTTGAGAAATCGTCACCTTACCTGCATTGGGATACAAAACCAACTTCGCGACTTCCACGAAGTATCTGTGAGCGCTGGAACTGTTCGGAGAAGGTTAAAAGAACACCATGTGGTACCACACAAACCAGCTAATGGGCCCAAACTAACGCGAGCCCACCGAACAGCGCGCCTGCATTTCGCACGCAGTGATTTAAATTGGACACAGCAAGATTGGAGCCGTGTACTCTTTTCTGATGAGTCTAAAATTGTGTTACATGGCAATGATGGAAGGAAGAAGGTCTACCTACCTGAGGAAGAGCGTTTCGCACAATGCTACTTTGAAGAAAGGGTTGCTTATGGCGGTGTCTTACGGAGTGTCTGGGGCGGTATATCCGCGAGCGGCAAAACTCAACTTGACGTTGTTACAGGACCACGGCTGCCAACATTAAATGCTGAAAGGTACATTCGTAAGTGCTTAGAACCTCACGTGATACCATACGCGGACTATGTGGGCCCAAATTTCCTTTTTATGCATGATAATGCAAGAGCCCATGCGACCGGCATCGTCAGGGAATATCTTCGGGATGTGAACATCACAGTTATGGACTGGCCAGCCAGAAGCCCAGACATGTACCCCATTGAGCACATGTAGGACGAGCTAAAAAGACGTATTAGGGCTCGTCAGCCAGTTGCCCAGACGATGCAGGAGTTGAAAACTGCCATAGAAGAGGAATGGGAGATGATCCCTCAAAATTTCATAGAGCTATTGATAAACTCCGTATGAGAGCTGTGGTAGATGCCCATGGAGGCAACACGCGTTAATAAAACCTTTATTTGATAAGACATGGTTTATTCAAAAATCAATTGCCTTTAATAAGGTGCATATTCGATTTGTTAGGTGTAGCTCCATGTCGTATGGTATTTTGAATTCAAATTTAAAACAATACGATCGAAAAAGATGGTACAATGTATCAGGTAACTTCATCAACAGTAGGGGTCATCGAAACCTACCAATAGATATGTCCGGAAGTGTATGATTTTATGGTTATTGTGTAGCCGAGCCGGTGTCCGGTAATAGTCCTATAGTCGCTCTTAAACTAAACTAGATTTTCATTAAGCTAATTAATTCATTATAATTTATTTTTATCATGGTAATCATACTAATCCTGAAACCTATGTCTTATTAAGATGCCTATAAATTCCGCAATCAGTTCATAGTTTCCAGAATTTGGATGTCTTCAAGATTTCCTTAAACTTATTAAACTCTTTGAGGGGAACTTACTAGGCGAGATAGTGGTCAAATGTCGACCCATCAAATAAATTAAAAATAGTAAAACTGGGGATCAGGTAAAGTATTACGTTACTGGGTTCTTTTACCGGATTCGGGAATCAAAATCAAATCATCTAACTGTCAATGTCAATAATGTCATACGTCACTAAATCATGAATTGATCAATGTCATCTATCACCTCTAATTTCGTCTGTTTGCATTTCTTATTACTTGATTTTAATATATATTAAATAATTCGATATTTTTATTGGAATGTTCTTGGAGTAGTACGAAATATTTATAATTTACTTATAAAATGAGTACCATGGACGAAATAGAAGATGAGGCGAAAGCAGCTGCCGAAAAAATGGTAATGAATATGATGCAGAGACCAGGACAGTTAGAAAAGGTAAGAAAAAATTTTCAATATTATAAATTAGCACTATTATTTTATCGTTTTTATATTTTTTTATACTATTTCTCTCTTATCCTACATGTCTGACTGCGTTTTGAACTCTGTTCACATGACACAAATTACGCTTATAGTTATTTAAAAGTGGGCGTTTGATACAGATTCCTGAAATATTCACCTTATAGCCATGTCACATTAGGTTAAACCTGTAATGATAGATGTAAGTGCGATGATAAATAAATAGTTCTCTCTTGAAAATGTTTATCAGAGCTCAAACAACTTAGCATGTTGAATATTTTGTTGGTTATCACATAATCAAATTATATGAAATTCTAGGTAGAACATTATAAAAAAAGAATAACTCATAAGAAGGCATCAATAGAAGCTCAACTAAAATCAGCTGTACAAGGCAAGCTGGATGGAGTCAGTGTTGGTTTGAAACAGTTGCAAGAGTGCTTAGAAGATGTGCAACAAGTCAGTCTGAAGTAAGTAACGGCTAGTTTAAAAATCTCAAAATCAATATTTTCCCTTATAGTTGTACCTCTACTTGTTTATTGAAGAAGAGAAGAGAACAGATGGCTTAGTACAATAACTATTAGTGATTTAACTTATTTGTGCTATGCTAAAGTATGTAACTACCTCTGTAGCTCCAAGTAATTAAACTGCAATTATTTTACTTTAGAATGGATGAACTGGAAGAGCTGTTAAAGAGTGTACCTCCCCTGGTAGCATCCTTACAAGCAGTCAGGGAGGAAGATTCTCGTCATTCACAGTATGTCACTGCTATGGACAGTCTTAAACACATATTCACTGTACCAGAGAGTGTGGCTAAAACTAAACAATGGATAGGAGAAGGCAAACTTCTGCATGCACATCAAGTAAGCCTACTCTTAATAGATATAAAGTATTAAATAAACATAAAATGTTTACAAAATAAGTCCTTTTCACTACTTGAAATAAACTAAGTCCAATTATCCGAAAATAATAAACTCTCAGTACTTAATTTTATATCAATTTCAGTGTTTAAATGATTTGGAAAACTCCAGGGATGATCTCCTATATGAACTGCATAGATTACCTAACCAATCCTCACATGATAAAATTATGCTAAAAGCTTATTTTGAAGATGTTGAAATGGTGTCCAATTTGCTTGAGAAACAGATAAAGCTGATTTTAGCCAGAACTTTGAATACAGTTCGTAAAGAACCCACAGTTATTGTCACAGCCTTGAGAATCATAGAGAGGGAGGAGAAAAGGGACCAGATGGCATTACAGGTTAAAATTTATAGCACCTTATGACTTTATTTACTTTTAGTTACTGATACATCTATTTAATTACATAATTATACATCTGTTTACAATTTACAGCAACAAAGTCAAACAGGATTTATGCCACCTGGCCGACCTAAAAACTGGCGCGCCAAAGCTTTCGAAGTTTTAGAATGTGCAGTAGCACAGCGTATAGAAGGCACACGCGTTGACGAGCGCGAGAATAATAAACTGTGGTTAGTACGATATCTCGAACTTACGAGACAACTCATATTAGAAGACTTACGAGTTGTCAAAACATTATGTGTACCTTGTTTTCCACCACATTATGATATTGTGAACAAATATGTCAACATGTATCACATTTGTTTATCTGCAAGTGTAAGTATTAGTATATGAATTTAAAATATAATTATTTATACTTTAGATTTTTATAGTGTATATTTTGCATAATAACTTGAACCTCTATGATGAAGTCTTCAATTTTTTACAGCTTCAAGATGTAGTTACAGGTGGGATAGAAGGCAATGAATATGTTACACTTTTATCCTGGGTATTGAATACATACCCTGGAAATGAACTAATGGGCAGTTCAGAGCTGAATATTGATGTGTCAACTTTACCACCTTTACTTAGTAAGGAAACAATGCAAAAGTTACAAGATGAATACCTACAGGTTAGTAACTCTGAGTGTTAAAGTTATTTAGTACAAGTTAGATACAGTAAATAATTAACTCTAATGCTTATAGAAAATGGAATCCAACTACATGGAATGGATGGAGAAGACTTTGGAGTCAGAGCGAGCAGAGTGGGCAGGCCAGCGTGCACCTGAAGTGGAGTCGCATTCTACCGCGTACCACACGCATGCGCCCGTTATCATCTTCCAAATGATTGACCAGAACTTGCAGGTAAAACAAACTATATATTTTATTGTACTGTATTATGATTAGGGTATTTGGATGCTGTTATGTATTTAATCGGTTCAGTTTGTTAACTATCACATTTAATCTTCTAAATACATACTATATTATTACTATATATGACATTGGACAAAATCTGTGCCAGTTTCCTGTAGTGGTTCGTTTAATTGAGCAAATTGATTTTTCTTTTTTTTTTATTGCGAAAGTTATGATTTGTTGCCCCATGTAACTTTGAACTTGCTACTCAAGCAATACGAACAACTAAATAAAAAAATAAACAATAAATAACTTTTCATGCTTGTCTGTTGCTGACTATTTTTTTACAGGTCACCGAAACTATAAGCAAAGAAATAACGTTTAAGGCGTTGCTCCTTAGTATTGATCAAGTTACGCGATATGGGAATATGTACAGGGATGGAGTCATACAATTTAAGGTAAATGACACCTTGGAGACTTCATTGAGCTTTCTTTATCGAAAAATAATACACCTACTTTTAACTTAGATCATAAACTAATAGTATTTTTTAATTATCGTAAATAGAACGCCCACTTCGCGGATCGTTCGCGGGTGGCATATTTCACTCACCACATGATCACGATCGTGAACAACAGCGAGCAGATGGTACGGCTGGCGCAACAGACGCAGGCGCGCCACTGGCCCGCCGGCAGACACGACCCACCTGCCGAGGCCAAGTTCGATAAGATGCTTAACACCTTCCAGGTATGTAATTATGTAGATACTACACATAGTGTTAGTAGTAAAATGGAGCAGTTCCACCAGCTGAAAAGATTGTTACCCGCACTTTAACGCTCTCGTGTATTATACCGAATTGTTTTAAGTTAATATGTTTGACAGTGCCCTTAAAAAAAACGAAGGGTATTTTCAAACTTACTGAGAGTTTCATAAGAATTTTTTAACCCGATAGGCTATTCTGTAACACGTCAATTCGAACTCTCGAAGTGAGCTCGATCGCATTCTCGCTCGTCGTTGGTCGAGATTATTATCACAACCAATGACATAGCTGGAATCAAAAGGGGTAGCATAGAAAACTAATTAATCCCTTTCAACTTACATTAATAATAATAGTGATCAATTTCTAAAATCATGCGCAAACACTTTCAATTTCAAATTCATGGTCACTTACAATAAGAGTCAACGTCCTCTATGTCGCAGTGAGTTTTTCATTTGTAAATAACTCATCGGACCAGCCAAGGTCAAGTGGCGTGTAGCGTCGGCTACAGAAAAAAACGCTTAACAACACTTACAATAACTACGCTACAGATACCTCTACAGATCTGTACACAATGTAGGTACAATTATAAATCCCGTTTTTAACTCTTGGAAAGGCAACTCATATTTTTTATGAAAGTATTCAAGATTTAAATAAAAATTCAACAAATACTTTATACAAAATTTTATTCTTTGGTGTAAGAACATAACAAAAATACTCATATATAACATAACATCAACAAATATCAGTCCAGGTACATTGAGCAACAGATTAGTGGCCCTTCTTGTGTCCCCAGTGCTTGTGGTGCTCGTGGCCTCCTTTCTTGCCGTGGTCGTGGTGGCCATGCCAGTGCTCGTGGTGGCCGCCCTCGCCGTGGTGTCCCTTGTGGTGGTGGTGGTGACCGCCTTCTTCATGGTGGCCCTTTTTGCCATGATCATGCTCGTGGTGTCCGCCGTGCTTGTGACCCTTGTGGAAGTGACCGCCCTTCTTGTAACCGCCCTCGTGGTGATGGCCACCGTGGTGCTCTTTGTAGCCTTTCTCGCCATGATGGTCATGGAAGTGCTTGTCCTTCTTGAACTCGTCATGTTTCTCAACACCGTGGTGTCCTTTGGTGTCGTGTCCCTTGTGCCAGTGGCCGTGCTCTTCGTGTCCGTGACCGTGCTCGCCCTTCTCTCCGTGGTGGTGGTGGCCATGGTAGCCCTCATCATGATGGTGGTGTTTCTTGTGTCCGCCATGCTCTCCATGGTGACCCTTGTGTCCCTCATGGTGGCTGTGTCCGTGCTTGCCGTGGTGGTGCTCATGGTGACCCTTGTGTCCTTTATGGTGTTTACCACCATGGTCATGGTGATGGTGCCCGTGGTGTTCGTGGCCGCCACCCTTATCCCAGTGATGACCATGCGATGCAGCGGCTTCCAAGTCGGCGTCCCTTTTCTCTCTAATGTCTCTGGCGGAGATGACGGCAGCTATGGCCAACAGGCCAAATGCCACAAGCAGGCTTCCCCTCATGGTTGGTTAAACAAACTGTTGCTGAATGATATTGATTCATCTGTTTCAATGATTTTATATACTAAATAGAAGCGGTGGTTAGGAAATACACGGTTGCTCGATAGTGTCAAGGTTGCCACAACTATTCGCGTTTGTGTAGTTGCTTTCCACTTCCTTCCAGGTTGACAATATTTGTTTCGAACTTATTAACATAGGTACCGTACGTTTGTTTTACGACCCGAGTTCGTTTTAGATGTTCTAATTATAAAGTATATTATTTATTCACGCTGTGCGCTATGAAACTTAAATAGAGAATCTACCGGCAAATATTTTTTAACAAGTAATAAATGAGATGTATAAAAAAGCAGTGTATTATTATTGACTGTTATTTAGATATGTAATACGATCTTCCCTAGATAATAAGTACATGTAACATCTTGAATTTTAGTGTTGTGGATTTTATTAATGTCTATAAATTCGCATTTTTATATCTTTAGTCAATTCACTTCTGCATTAGAAAAAAGAGGTTCATAGAAGCCTACTTCTATGTGCACAACATTTATTTTATTTAAATGAATCAAAGTATTTCCATGAATATTGATTTCAATATAAAGCATCATCTGAACTTAGATTTTAACAATTATTAGATAAGGTCTAAAAAGGTGGATTGGTAAATGAATTAGATTTTGTTTTAAATCCATATAACTTTCTTTTCTTAATACCGTTCTTTTCTCCATCTTTATTAATACCGTTGCCAGGGTCATTTCATCTAATTTCCATCTATATGCGGACGCCATTCTGCTATCGATGTCATGAATCGTGATTTGGATGGCATTGCCGAGTAGGCTAGGTCTTTTGGCCTGCAAATCAATCCTCTCAAGTCTCAGGCCATGATCATCGGTAGCAGATATTATCGAAACGCTCTCGACGTCTCTAGCCTTGGTCCGTTATGTTTGAATGGCACACACATTCCATTCACTGATACTGCGAAAAACTTGGGGGTACATATCGACTCGAACCTGTCGTGGGCTGTTTAGGTGAACGAGGTTAGTCGGAAAGTTCATTTTTCCATTCACTCGCTGAGGTACCTCCAGACCCTGCTGCCGGTGAAGACTAAGATTCACTTCGTCCAGGCGCTGATCTTGCCTCTCATTGACTATGCAGATGCTTGCTGTTTGGACGCCACAGAGGAGCTATTAAATAAACTTGAGCGTTTACAAAATGTATGTATCCGTTTTGTCTTTGGTCTTAGGAAGTTCGATCATATTTCTGAATTCCGTAACAGGCTCAAGTGGCTCCCTATCCGTCTTCACAGGAATACTCGCATATTATGTATCCTCTATAACACCCTCTTCAACCCAGCCTATCCTGCTTATCTCCGAGACCGTTTTTACTTGGTACGTCGTCCTGAAGTCCTTACTCGTTCTCGTGGGTATATTTATTTATTGGTTATTGTTTATAATTGTATGATATTAATTTGTTTTATTGTTCATTATTGTTATTTCTATTGGTTTCTTCGGTATTATTGTTTTTTTTTTTAATTGATTTTTATCTTATTTGTGTAACACACTATGTATCTCGGTGTCTTTATTTCTTTTCCTGCCACAGGCCCACAGGAAAAAATTCCAGTTAGAATATGTGGGGCCTATGTACTCTGTTTATATATATATATAGTCCTCTGTGTTACATGTGTGTAGGTAGGTACATAATAAATAAATAAACTTTAATTACATAATAAATAATAAAAAATAAAATGATGTATCAACAAGATTCTTCTGCACGAATCACATAAATTATACACAATACAAGGTAATAACAAAATTATTTTTAACATATACAAGCATTTTCGTTTAAAACAACGGCTATGACATATCGATGGGTGCCCAAGACGAAATCACCTATGTGCGATTCGAAAGTGCGTATCACAATCATATGAACACTAGGCCTGAAAAGGATTACACTTTTAAAAAAACGCGCCACATCTACGTGTTGTGGAAATTAATTATCCTCCTAAATGCTTACTGAGATGTACCCATGCGGTATTCTGGCGCCAAATCTACTTATTTTATAGAAAAAGCTGCCTAGGCATAAAATGTAGAAAAAGTAAATAGTTTAATTTTTTATCTGTTCTGTTTCTCTTGTAAAAAACTGTTTTTGTCCGCCAGCTTTCCAAGACTGCAAAATGTAAATCGAAAAAACACAAAAATATACAAAACTGCCAATTTTCAACACTCCGGGAAACTAAACTCATGTTTCCGCCTTCATCGAACTTGAAACCTTCTTGAAATTATTTGTCACTTTTACTACAAAGTGTACCCCAAAAAAAAGCTTTTTTTACTTCTGTCTAATGCTATTGTGAATAGAATAAAAGCGTGTTATTTATTAATTTCATTTGTTTTAGAATTTAAGAGATGAAGCTGCCCAATTTCTTCTCGAGGAAGCGTTTCTTGACCTGGAAGTACACTTTGATGACCTATTTACAGCAAAATGGTTGCCGTCCACCATTCCTGTGGACACTATTTGTATAACACTCGACGATTACTTCCAAGATTACAATCATTTGAGAGACAAAAATTTCGAGTATGTTATAAACGAAGCTCAAAACTTGGTGTATAAGAAGTATATTACAGCAATGTTGTCCAAGAAAGTGGCCTTTAAAAACGTGGAGGAAGCTCAGCAAGCTGCCACTAAAATAGTCAAGGAGGCTAACCAAATCAGATCGTTCTTTAAGAAGATAGCGCCAGAGGGTGTTAATGTAGATTGGCCCTTTGAAGTCATCAGCATGCTGGCAGAGGCAAGTTTGCGTATTTATTATTTTGTTACATTCTGTTCAACCTATTGTAGCAATATCTGATAGATCTAATATAATTAATTTACCAGTTTTCTTTAAATATGCATTGACTATCCTACTTACCTTTTTTTATGTATGACCATGCATAACTTCATAGAAAGTACATGAAATCTAATCAGGGCGGGGCTTGTAGAAAACAACATTTTTTTCACCATCATTCTAACAAATTAGAAGGTGATAAATAAATTTATCTCATGTTCTATGTGTGTACAATTATAGAAATAAAACTTTCATTATATGAATTGTTCGGTCGTTTGTAGCGGTTGTGAAGATGGAAGGCAAACATTTTGATAACATATTAGTAACTATAACTATTGAAAGATTAGCTCAATGATTGAGAAACATGCTCTCGCGGTAGGGTTCGATACTTACATGTTTTTTTTATTTATTTTTTCTTATTTAAATTTGGCATAGTAGAATGTACTTATATAGGCGAAACATGTAATTCTGCTTAATCCCATTGACCCAAAGTTAATACTTATTAACCCCGACTAAGGACACAAAGTGCCCCACACACCAACTTCTATGTACAGCTACATATTGTACACAAAAGCATTGTTCGATAACTCGTTGTGTTGTAGGTACTGCGATGTCAGGACGTGGAGATGTTGTCCCTGGACCTGCACAGCGTGGTGGCGAAGTGCCCCGACATGTCGGAGGAGCAGCTGGTGCGGCTGGTGTGGCTGCGCGGGGACGTGCCGCGCGCGCGCCTGCGCGACACCGTGGCCATCGCGCGCGCCAGCCGGCCCCCGCCGCGCGCCAACTCGCACCCCTCACTCTTCAAACACATCACCTTCAGCGACCGACTGCTCTCACACTTTAATCTATAGAACTTCCACCTCTTTACTACAGTACTACACAAGTATATTGTTTTTCACATTTAAACTATATTTTAATATAATAGATATTGTAATACTGCTCATGAATATGATTTAGTTTGAAACTAGTCTAGTAACGTGAGTAAGACGTTAAACTAAAGTTACTTTTAAACTGTCAAACACCAAGCGGTCACCGGTGACCGCAACCTATTGTTCTATAATTGTGTCTACAAAACCGGTACTCGACGAGTTAATATGTTTATTAGTTATAGAGTTATATTAGGAATACGTATATTATACTGTCTCCAGCAAATATACACTTCTGGACACATCTATTGGCCCACCTTGTATTTTCAGTTTCGTTTGGTCCTAGCTAAAATTTTATATTAGGTCGAGCAAGAAGTTTTTATGCAGTTTTGAACCTGACACATTCACAATTTCATTCAATAGTCTTTTTTTTGGATTTCTAACAAAGAATATAAAGCAACAAAAGACAATTTGAAGCCTGTTTGTTGAAATCAAACAATCGAATATTTTTTTCGAATTTTATTGGTTTACTTGGAATTAATTCTTGAAAAAGTGATTGATATCTTTAGTTTTACAACAAACATTACTTATTGTTAACATTAAGGTGAGGTTCTATCAATAATCTATGGATATTTCACCTGAAGTCGCCGCCCAAGCTCATCAGGCCGGACACAGCCAAAGAAATGTGAGTGCTCAACTTAATTTAAGTCGATCTGCGGTCCGAAATGTTTATCGGAGGTACCTAGAGACTGGCGGCTTTGTTCGTCGCCAAGGAAGGCCACGATCTCGGGTCACAACTGAAAAGCAGGATCGATTCATCGCGACGACCAGCTTGTGAAATCGTCACCTTACGTCCATTGAGATACAAAACCAACTTCCACGGAGTATCTGTGAGCGCTCGAACTGTTCGGAGAAGGTTAAAAGAACACGATGTGGTACCACACAAGCCAGCTAATGGGCCCAAACTAACGCGAGCCCACCGAACAGCGCGCCTTCATTTCGCACGCAGTCATTAAAATTGGACACAGCAAGATTCTCTTTTATGAGTCTAAAATTGTGTGACATGGCAATGATGGAAGGAAGAAGGTGTACCGCCGTAAGGGAGAGCGTTTTGCACAATGCTGCTTTTGGCGGTGGCTCATGGACTACCTGGGGCGGTATATCCGCGAGCGGCAAAACTCAACTTGACGTTGTTACAGGACCACGGCTTCCAACATTAAATGCTGAAAGGTACATTCGTCAGTGCTTAGAACCTCACGTGATACCATACGCGGACTATGTGGGCCCAAATTTCCTTTTTATGCATGATAGTGCAAGAGCCTATGCGGCCGGCATCGTCGGGGAACATCTTCGGGATGTGAACATCACAGTTATGGACTGGCCAGCCAGAAGCCCAGACATGAACCCCATTGAGCACATATGGGACGAACTAAAAGGGCGTTTTAGGGCTCTTCAGCCAGTTGCCCAGACGATGCAGGAGTTGAAAACTGCCATAAAAGAGGAATGGGAGATGATCCCTCAAAATTTCATAGAGCGGTTGATAAACTCTATACCTAATCGTATGAGAGCTGTGGTAGATGCCTATGGAGGCAACACGCGTTATTAAATTAAACCTATAGTGATAACTATAAGACATGTTTTTTATTCAAAAATCAATTGCCTGTAACAAGGTGCATATTCGATTTGTTAGGCGTAGCTCCATGGCGTATGGTATTCTGAATTCAAATTTAAAACAATACGATCAAAAAAGATGGTAAAATGTATCAGGTTTAAAACTGCATCAACAGTTTTGGTTCAATCTAGCAATCATATTTCGGTAGGGGCCGTCGAAACCTAAACTCTAAGGTGTGCCAATAGATGTGTCCAGAAGTATATAAAAAACGGTTTGTAAAGAGACGTAGCACATTCCGATAAATATAAAACTGTAACACAGAATGGCGATGAATTCAATCGATGGGTGTAGTCGATAAGTCTGCTTGTATATTAATTACATTTTATAATAAAAAATATAACTAAGTTATAAGTATTTATATGCGTAAATGTATAGATAATTTAGCAAATATATTGTATTTAATATAAACTTATTTTACTTTGAATTTATTTACTACAATTTGCTACACATTAAAAAAAGTCAATTTCCTTACAAGTTATTTATATTTATAATCTTATAATAGTGACTTAATCATTTTAAACTAAATGAATGTCTATCAGAACACTAATTACAGCTTTGCCAAAAAGAGTTCGACGCGGTGACAGCTGGAACTAATATTGACATAGACTGAATCACCCACACCACCATGGACCATCTCATGAATAAACAATCACCCGAACACAGTACCTCCCCTTTTTAATCTCGATAAATATAACAAATATCAAAACCGATTAAGTCGTAACTAGCGAACTAAATTATTCCAAACCCTTTTTTGCCAACTGCAAAATAGTATCTAACTGTCTACTAAGGTACCCACAAAGTATGCAGATTGCGGACGTCTAGAATCATTAATAAATTGATCGGACAAGTCGTCTTCGTTTAAAGTGTATTGTATGTACCTATTATGTAGGTGGATAAATGCGGACACATCGACGAAATGATTGAGTATAAGAAGGTACTTTCGTGTGTGATAAAAATGCCGTTATGGATGTTGTGGCAATTACCTCCGCACGGAGTTGACACAACAATGAGGTCCTGCTATACTTCTTCACGTATCATTGAATACAATTTAGTGGTTATATCGCGCGGATTCAAGGCCAATTGGTAGTTCGAAGGGCGGGCGGCGCGCGCGGCCGCGGGCAGTCAGTCGCACGCGGCGCGCCGCTCGCACGCACCTGTCCCGCCCGCGCCATGTCCGCCGCGGCCGCGCCACTCCGCGCGTGCGCGCTGCTGCTCTGCCTGCTCGCAGGTAAGCAGCTCTGTCTCTACATCTGCCTCTACCACCAAAACTCCAGCAAAAGTCTCAACCCCGATACTCCGCCACCTCACCCTATTTCAAATTTTGTTCCATTGTTTATATTACATGTTTTACTGTGATTACATTATATTATTTATTCAGACATCTGTAAGTATCGTTTTGGAATTTCTCATTGTGTATTGACAAGAGAAATCATAGTGCCTCGACAAGGAGCTTTTATTGAATAGTTGATCTTGAATTTAGATATTTTTAGTAGGTATATTAAAAAAAACAGTATTTAATGCCACCGATCCAAATTGTAAATTAATTTATAAGGCTCTATTTATTCATATCATAGGATAAATTATACTCAGATCAACAGGAAGGTCGGTACATGTAACTTCTATACATATACCTAGAGTGGTATGGCTCAGATCCCTGTTCTAGTTCTCATGACTCATCCAATCATAACACCACAGGAAGACAAACTTTTGTATGCAATTTGCTTTTGTGCGCGCTCTAGGCGACTGATATTTGTTTAATATCTATTTCCTTTAGGGTTGGTTACGTACCTACCTATGCCTATGATTTATATGTAAAAATCTTAAATTTCTGCGGTATTATAATAAGTTTTGTAGTTTGTTAAACTAGGTGGGTATTTTATTGAATAGTTCAAATCGACACACCGCGTGCGCTCTGGTCGCAGTGGTATTTTTAACATTCCCGGACCGCCTCAAGGTTAGCTAAGATAGTCGCTTATTCATTGGGATATGACCTAATTTCCTATAACAAATTATTTATAGAAAATTTATAACGGAATGAATGCAAAGTCAAACATTTTAGGATTATAAACATAATGGAAGAGCGACCTCATTCACCTACTGATTTTATATGCGGAAGTTGGTTCATCGGCACTTAAAAGTGCAGCGCCATCAGCGCGATGTTTACACAAGTATACTTCGCGCTTGTCATATCTTAAATAATCTCAACCTAACCACTGAGAGTAAACGACCTCGCTATTATTTTATAAAATCAAAATTATTAACGTGGGTCGTTGTTGCTTAAACTCCAGAGTCCACCAGCTTGTGAGTGAGCGCCTACTAAAAATAAATCCAGAATAATCATCGTGTGTTCGTAACTCTTAGATAATGCAGATTTATTGTTCACCCTAGTAGTTCCGCGGATGAGTATCATAAAGATCATAATCCCACCGACCGTCAATTTCAATTCTTATATTCAATGCAACAACAATAAAACAATCAGGTACCTACTCTAGCTAGACTCTCTGAACTGTAGCCAAAACATGAATCGGTAGATACCAATGTATATAGTGTAAACACTAGTAATTTGTAACGAAGTTGTTTTGTAAAATATTTACAGTTACCTATACCTAGTATTCAGTAATAATAATACTAAACAATCGTTCTATGGTATAACAAAAAAAAAAATAAAAAAGCCTTGTATTTCCCAATTAAAAAGAAATATACATTTCCAAGAAAATAAAAAAGCATATTATTTTATATTAAGTTTCATTTTAGGGAACCCCTGAGGTGAAGGCCTCCACCAGAGACTGCCATCTTTCTCGATCTTTTGCTGTATCTAGCCAGCGTACTCCAGCCACACGTAGGATTTCGTCGTCCCATCGTGTGTGCGGTCTTCCTCTTTTTCTTTTTCCTATTGGTCCTTTCCATGTTGTAATTATTTTTGTCCATCTATTGTCTTGTAACCTTGCTACATAACCTGCCCATTTCCACTTTAGTCTAAGTGCATATGAAACTGCGTCAATTGCTTTGGATTTCGCTCTGATTTTTGAGTGACGATATAATTAGTATATAATTATTTTATTTTTATTTATTATTATTTTTTAATTTAAACGTTGCCCCACACTAGGATTTTCTCCTGTGTCGTGGGTGCGTTTACAAACATACAAGTTCACATGCACATGATACCCAGACCCGGAACAAAGATCTGTGCATCACACAAAGAATTGTTCCGTGCGGTAATCGAACCCGCGACACGTTACGCGGCAGCCAGTTGCCTAGCCATCGCGCCAACCGTGCAGTCATAATATTATAACATATATTAAATATTGGCATATATGGTAGACTAACCGATCGAACCCACGGTTACCTAATCTAAATCGGTGAACTTCACCTTAGGCCCGTTGACGAACAACCTTGGGAGAGCAGTTTCAAAGGAACGCCATAACATTTTACTGCGACCAACAATCTGCTTGCCAACTGTGACGAATATGACCTAGCGATGTTTGAACATAAACCATGATTATAACTGTTCTGGATTTAAGTAGGCACTTGTACATTCTAAATCTGTTTCCCATTGAATACATTATTATGTGATGGGTTTTGATCCATCTGTCTACCTACATTCACTACTAAACATACGCCTCTCGCAGTATTTTCTTTACGCACATATTTATTTTATTTAGACTAATTTATTTTATTAATGAATGATGTAAATAAAATGATGTACTTAACTGAGCTAAATAACCACTCTTACAGCACGAAAGGAATAATGACCCAATTACATTTGTCAAATTGGGGCACTCAGCGTGTGATATGTTTCTCGAAGCATTATTTTTGCTTTCTAACATTAAAACTTAAACTGAATTTCAGGCAGCCATCAACTATCGATAAAGGAATTTGTAGTGCCCAGCGCTGTGGAGGTGGGTAAAGATGCTGAACTGAAATGTCAGTATGAACTGAACGCGGATGAGAAGGAGGTCGCTTTTTTCATCAAGTGGTGGTGGACGCCGGAGTCTGGTTCCAGTTACGACAAGAAACTCATATACCAACGCATAGCTGGACATAACCCCGAGACCCAAGTCCGACATGACAACACTAGCCAAATAGGTATTTAATGTTTTTTTTACTTTGAATAAAGTACCTAAACGTTACAATAAAATAGACAGTTTTTGTCTGTTATGGCCATAGTTACAGAAAACATGTTTTTTAGCAAAACAGAATTTATACCTGTTTCCAAGGTATTTATCAGAAAGTTAATCATTTAAGTATACAATAATTTCCTTTTTTTTTTTCAAAAATTAAAGTATTTTTGTTAAAAATCTTTTCTATATTTTTCAGAGATGAAAGAAAATGATTCCATCGTGTTATTGAATGTGAACCCCGTGGATTCTGGGACTTATGAGTGTGAAGTATCGAACATCGACGAGATAAGGAAACATGAAAAACTTATTGTTTATTGTAAGTATCCTACTAAAATCTTAAGTTAAAACATATGGACGCTTATCAGTATATATATGAATCACAATGTAAAATGTGTTTGTAATGTAATAGATTTAGAGAGAGGGATGGTGACACGCTGGGCAGCAGTAGGTTGCTCAATTAGTGCGACAACCGTGCAGTAGGAATTATTTTTTGATGTCTGTTATTTTGTTACAGCATTAGTAATAGGTCCTGAAATAAACTACACGTTAATAAATAATGAAGCAGAGGATAAAAACGACGATATGTTGTTAATAGAATGTCAAACTGAAGATATCGCACCCATGCCAGACATGAGCATCATATTTCAAGGGTAAATATGATAATATTGTTTTTACTGAATTTCCTTTAGTGATGATAATAATGTAACCACGGTAAAACTACTTTGCATAGATCTATGTACTAGCTCAGCAAGGGTTAATGTTCCTAATTAGGCTAAGGCTATTAATAGTACAATATAGATTGTAAACATAGGTTTGTTTATAGCCATTACAGGCAAATCATAATCTGGGTTAAAAAAGCTTTATCTTTGAAATTGTATCACTGATTAGATTTACTGGAAGTAGAGTTTTCGTGTTTAGCTTTAGTTGTTTTCTTATAATATGTAATAACATAGCTCGATACGTAATCTACGTATCTTCATGGGGTGTTTTAAAATTTCAGGGAAAAACTGAATGTAACGAAAAGTATAGAAGATAGCGATAACGATGGATTTTATAACATACACGCTAACGCCACTGTAAGTACGACAGACATAGACGTGGGTGAAATACGATGCGAGCTCTGGTACACCGCCTTAGAACATAAGCGGTATGTCGTCATCGAGTCATATGTGCCTCCAGGTATGTACCAATAAGTACAAAATATAGGTACGTAACAAACGACAGACTATATATACTTACTTATTTTAAATACGTAGGCTACGTTAGCGATAAAATTGAATGCATCAACATGCTTACTTATGTCGCACAAGTGTTGCTTTGGAACGTCTTCACATTGTTTTCTTTTGATTATTCATAGTGGCAGTAACTTTTCCATTATTCATCAATATGAACGGTTAACATTCACATTAAGACTGCACATGTAACAATTATCCATACAAGTTTTATGTTAGAATCAATAGCATGGTGAGTAACAGCATATTACGCTTTTACATAAAGAACTGGAGAAATATAATTATTAAAATTTAAAGGTACTTCAGAATTCATGTCTCATTTTCTTATAGTCTACGTTCGTTATAATAAGTTGGAAACTGTCCTAGCTTCTTTTAGAAAAACAATTATTATTGACGGAAGGGGGACTCAGTTCAAACCCTTCCTTTATTCTATCCTACAGTTTGTCTGAAGGTATAGATATGTTTCCAACTCATTACGTCACATATTGAGTTTAATTATTCAGTTTTTTTTTGCAATGATAAACGTAACACATGTACATTTTGATAAAATAATATTTTCATGGTATTGCAGTGCAGGATATACCTAGGAGCAATGTTTTGTTGTAAACGTTAATAATTGAGAGGTAGAGTAATTAAGTATGGTGGCTAGTCGTAGAGTAGTGTGTGCCACTGTGTGTTGTCTGTGTACTAACGTTGGTTGTTGGTAATGGTCGACGCCAGGCCGCGACGCGTCGTCCACCACTGAGCTACCCGAGGACAATTCCACCGAGCCGGATCCTACGCACAACTCCTTGCAAAACTACAGTAAGTCATAGAAAACCTACGTAGGAACGCAAGAACACAGTCCACACTTTTCAAACCTAAACTGAAGTTATCAGTGCGCCTAATATTTTATTCACATTGTATTTTATTTATTTACAATTATACATATACTAAGACATAGCATATTTTACCTTATAAAATTATTTTATGTAAATATTTCGTTGACATATATTTTTTACCCACCCGAGAATCCTGGCTACGTCCATGTACCCTAATAAACTCTTCCTAACGTAATTTAATATTATGTTACTGATGTGTAACAGTAGTTGTACAGCTGGTGTGTGATTGTTATCTTTTGAAAGTTACGATACAAAAGGAAATCTAAAATCTCGAATGCCTATGCTGTTGATTTACACATAGTGTTACATTAGTCTATATTAGGACACTTGTCAATATGCTTTTTACTATTATATAAATAGTCACAAGTATTTATACATTACCTACATCCAGATTTACTATCCTAAAAACCAGGGTAGGTTTGGTGTTGTATGCCTAGAACCTTAGAACATGTTTTGTATTTGCTTGTATGTACCATTCGGCCTATTCTGACTAAATATATAATAATTTTCACTAATTTGCTTCTGTATAATTTGAATGTTTTTTTTTTTAATTTGTATTTTTTTTCTTTGTTAATGAAAAAATGATAAGATTGCCCAATTTTATAATAACTGGGTAATTTAGTTTGCAATTGGCATCATGAGCACAAGTATAGATAAATAACACAAACTCAATTTGTTGTCATGTATATTAATATTTCTTATTACGTTCCCCTAATTCAAACTATTCCTATTTACAATATTTTACAATATAATGCGTGGTTAGGTTACTTATATTTTTGTGAAGACTATTTCATTCACACTTATTTATATTCTAAGGGGTTTTTAATCACTTAAATCTCACAAATGGCTAAAAGACGCCCAACGTGACGCCAAATATTATTTCCCAAATTGCAATAATACTAGTATGACCAACTTCACGTATTTATAAGGAGGCTTAAAATGAACACTGAGCCTAACTTCTAACACCTCCTTTCAGGACTATATGAAATGAAGTATTATCAAAGTGCAAGTATATTACGTCGTGGTGGCCCGGAGGTTTAAGACGCCCACTTCTCATGCATGAGGGTGCGGGTTTGAAACCTACCAACGGCAAGTACCAATGTGACTTTTTCCGAGTTATATGTACTTTCTAAGATTATTTAGACACCACTGACAAACGGTGAAGGAAAAACATCGTGAGGAAACCTGGACTTATAATTTCTAATTATAAGTTTGAAATCGCCAACCCGCATTGAGCAAGCGTGGTGATTAACGCTCTAACCTTCTCCGTGTGAGAAGAGGCTTTGCTCAGCAGTGGGCATTTATAGGCTGTTGATGATGATGATGAAGTATATTATTTACTTAGTCCTGTTTCAAACAAGAATCTCGAAAATTTTGGCCACTTTATAATAACACGGTATTTTGGAAAACTTGATATTCAATACCCTACATTACACATGCAAATCCCTTGTATTTGATTATTATACCTGAATACTTAGTAGTTACATAAGTTTACATAGCCCCCTTCCCCCCACCTCCCTACCTATAGGCCGGCAACGCACTTGTAAGTTCTCTGGTGTTGCGAACTTGCGAGTGTCCATGAGTGTCGTGTCGCCGACTGCATACATCCAGTGCCGGATTAGCCACGTAGCAAGAGTAGCAAATGCTACGGGCCCCGCGGATTGGGGGGCCCCGCGCTCAAATAGGTTATGAAGAAAATGTTTTGTTTACAAAACTACTACCAACCTACATGTAATTTGATTTTTTTTCTTAACGAAATTAACGAAAAAAGACAAATAGTCGGTATTTTGTATGTGTAAGAAAAGGAAAGTAACTATTTGTTCGCTTGGTTGGTGCCATTGGCGGGCGTACCAAGCCCGATTTGAACGAATCAAAAATGAATTAATTAAGGAACACTATGGGCCAAGGACGTCTTAATCATTTCACAATGTTGAATATAGAGCATGACTTGCTTAAAGAAGTCGATATTGAAAGTGTAATCGCTAAATTTGCCCATAACAAATCCAGAAAAGTTTATTTGTAACAGTTTTGTTTTATGTAATAATACCCTAAATGACAATGACCAAATTTGTATGGAGCGTGGTGCCTTTTTATTTTTCGCGGCAGTTTATTGGATGTGTAAAAACTGATGCAGAATAACATTACAAACAAAAAAATATATGGGGTCTTATATCAAAAACACAGTCCAAACCGAGTTAAATCAGTTCAAAGATGTGAAAATAGTGCTATATTATTCCTGTTATTTTGTTGATGGTGACCGTACACAACGCATATTTCTTCATTTACTTGTCAGAAATATTTTGTAATAAATGTTTATAAACGATTTCAAGGAATATAGTAAAGCTTATAGTGGACTTCTTTTTAGGGTTCCGTACCTCAAAAGGAAAAAACGGAACCCTTATAGGATCACTTTGTTGTCCGTCTGTCCGTCCGTCCGTCCGTCTGTCAAGACTCTTTTTCTCAGGAACGCGTGGAGGTATGAAGCTTATATCAATTTATATCAATTACTCAGGTCTACTGTCCCTTGAAGCTGTGAAAAAATCAAACTTCTAAGCCAACGCAATCAAAAGATACAGCCGTTTATGCCGCAAATTTTCGACACTTGCAAGGGAATCAAAACCTACAGGGTGCTTCCCGTGAACTCAGAATCTTGAAATTTGGTACGAAGCAACGTCTTATAGCATAGATAAAGGAAAAATTACGAAAACCATAAATTTTTAGTTACATCACATAATATATATTTTTTTAATAATTTTAAACTTACTACCCATTTCCTCATAAACGCGTAGAGGTATTAAATTGAAATTCATACCAAATACTCAGGTCTATAATACCTTTAAGCTGTAACAAAATCAAACTTCTATGTCAACGCAATCAAAAGAAACAGCAATTTAAGCTGCATATTTTGAAACTCGCAAGTACTCGCAAGGGAATCAAAACCTAAAGGGTACTTCCAGTCGACCTAGAATCTTGAAATTTGGCATGAAGCAACGTTTTATAGCACACATAAAGGAAAAATTCCGAAAACCTTAAATTTTTAGTTACATTACAAAATATGTCGTAATGAACGAACTTTGTAAACCTTGCAGGTTTGTACGGAACCCTCGGTGCGCGAGTCCGACTCGCACTTGTTTTTATAAGGCCACGGAATCATAACAGAGTCTTTAACTGGCCACTACACAAGTAAAAAAAAAAACATTTCGATTGCTTGGCTAGCGTGTTCACTTTATACCTATGTATACGGTTTATGGCCTATGACAGATTTTCATGTAAGTTTCAATACCCTCTCAGTCGAAAACCCGCAAAATACTTTACTGAGCCCTATCACGAAATGCTATGTTTGTCAGCTGCGGCGTCGGTAGCGCATTGAGTAGTGGCAATCGTCGAAACACGAAAAAATTTTTTTTCTGTCTACTTCTCCCGACCTACTCCCGATTAGTCACTAATTTAACTACAGTTAATACTCTAATCTAGAGCTAGCATAAGATTCTGTACAAAGATATCGTCATTCAGTCACAAAGTGATGGACTATATTTCGACTGATCACATTATATGAAAAAAAAAATATACGCTCATCTGACGTATATCACTTTACAAAGTCGACGGTTTCCTTTCTACAAAAGATTATGCGAACTATAAAGTAGATGAGTCTCCCACCAGGAGTCAATGGCAAAACAAAATACACTTTATTAGATGTTCGCACGGCTACCACCGCTCAACCCACCACTGGTAACATAGCTGACGCTCATGAAGCTTCATGACACAACTCCTAGAAGCATCCCACAAGTTATCGACTGAGAGAAAATAGGTAATAAAAATTAGTGCCTGGCAATATGAATATATTGTGGTGTGATATGGTATTCCTGCGCCCGACGTACAGTTGCACGCAATTTAAAGTTGGGAATTGTGACAAAAATATGAATAACTAGCTACTTCCGCGCGGTTTCACACGCTCTGCTCGGCTCCTATTGGTCGTAGCGTGATGTTTTATAGCGTATAGCCATCCTCTTGCACTATCCAAAACAAAAAGAATTATTCAAATCAGACTTGTAGTTACGGGGATTAGATTAGTTATTCAAACAAACAAACAAACTCTTCCGCTTTATACCTCTATAATAGTATATAAGATAATGGTATAAGATATAAGATTTGAATAAAAAAAACCAAAGTGAAATGTTTGACTTCAGCTCCTTTCAACGCTCATAACTCAGTCCAGACTGAGATTTCCATACATGAGCCCTATGGGCTCACTTTCATATATGTATATGGGAACAATTTCGTTTGTGATATCATTCCAACCAATATCTTCCATAAATCATCGACTGACGCCAGAAAAAAGAAAGGCACCAAATTTAGTCAATGCCCAAATGAGAACCGATAGCAAACCAAAGGCCCCTAGACAGAATTTGCTACAGGCCCCGCGCTGGCTTAATCCGGCACTGCATACATCAGGCGATTCATCTTCTCCTTTGCCGACCTGTCCCATGAAAAGTTATTACCTTCATACGTAATGAAGTCTGTTGCTTATGATTTCTCACTAGAGTTGTATTTCAGGTGACGATGGCATTCGGCTACTCTGCTCATGGACGTTGGTGTCGTTTGCAACAGTTGTGGCGTATCTAGCAACATTCAGGCCCTATCTATTGTGATACTAATTACGTAACTATGCTAATATTAATAATTAAGTGTTAATTTAATTAAGCTTTACCTAGTAAGTACCTGTACAATATTATCTTCGATTTACAATATTAATAAAAATATACGTATTGTTGCAATTAAAATATTTTATTTCAAATCATAGATGTAATAAACGAGCCGCCGTTCACGATGGTGTTCATAATAAGATGTAAAGCAGGCGAAAAGTGTCTCCTGCTATATTATAAAGATCCATGCAGTAAAGGGCGAGCCTATTTCCACTAGCACTCAAGACAAATACGAGCCCTTTGCCCTTTTTATACTTGAGGGCTTAGTACGAGATTGTTTTACATTTAATGGTTAAAAGCTACATTTATGTATGAGGGAAATGTTTTACATAAAATTATCTAAAAAATAACCCAGAACACCATATACCTATCTTTTATGGTTGACTCACAATAATACGTGTAACCCTCGATAGCTTAGCAGTTCGGAGCTTTCTGCTTATATTTTTTTTACTCTTCACGTTTATAATAGATAGGTACTCTCACTCATCCATTAACAAAAAAGTTAACATTATTACCTAATCAATAAAAAAGAATCATAGAATCGGTATAGAAGCACCGTACTTTTATCCTGAAAGAGTATATACAAACAAACTTAATTGTGCGGCTCGATCACTAGACTTAATTACTTTACTAAACGCAAATATAAGTTTCACGAATATTATGATGCGCGCCAGTAGACTTTGCGCCGTAACTATAGGGCCGACAGTCGAAATTAGGTTGAACCGCTATTATAAATGCAATTTGTGAATTTCTGTGGTTATGTGATGTTTATTACTTAGTCACATCAAAACGCTGAACGGACCAGGATAAGGAACAGAGGTAGATTATGGTCTGGAGTAATACAAAGCCTTTTTACCCGCGGGAACGCGGGCGAAGCCGCTGGCAGAAGCTAGTACATAAATAAAACAAAAAATTTCAATAAGATCTTATATTTTTATTTAAACATTTGATTCTTATTATACCTTCAAATCAATATTTCAATATAATTTAATAGGTACGTCCATACCTTAACATAATATTAAATACACAACATCTCTAAAATAATAAATATTTTTTTAATAATAGCTACACTTATAATAGTTGTCTACTTCAGGGCCCAGTCCGCCATGGCAATTGGCGTGTCGGAATGACGAACATGTAAACTGCAGTCTTGGGCCCCAGATGGCACGCTTCATGTAATTAAATCTAACCACATCCTCATTCTTATGTCTTACAATCTCTGAACAGTTCAGTCAAATTCTTAGTAAAAAAAAATACAAAATGAACATAGCTGATATAAAAGTCTTTGGTTCGTTAAACTTTTAAAGCGACACATGAATAGTTCATGTCATGGTGTAGAGATTGGTCAATCAACCAATATTATGGCAAGGTTGATATGGTGCGCCAGACGTTCTAAATTGAACCGTCATTTGGAAAGGCTCTCTACATGCACCGCAATATGAAAACTCATAATTATACGACTGATATCGATCATCAGTTTCACAAAACGCGACAATAAATTATATTTAGCGCTATAATAATTTATCTTTTAATTTAATCTACTTACACAAAATATAATATGGTTTTTGTTTTTGGTACAAAGTAACATCTACTACTAGATACATGCAATAATAATCCAACACGCGTTAGACCATCGTCATAACCGTTCTGCGAACAAAATTTACGGATTCCCTAAAGAGGCCATTTGAAAATTAAAATATCGCTCCAACAGATGGACGTAGATTATATTGACATAAAAACAGTCTTCATTCATTTAAAAAAATGTTATTCACACTTGCTATTAACTTCCCAGTCAAGTTTCAAATTGAACAAAATTTTAACGGATAAAAATTTTATTTGTAATCATTTTAGTGATTTTCGATATATGGTTATTTATTGACTGCATTTTTTTTTCATCTTAAGAGTTTATTTACATTAGCGAGTTTAAAGAGCATCAATTCATCAATTTTAAATGTGAACATAGTAACCCGAAGCGCTTCGCATCAAGCTTCCTTGTGTGTACTGTTAAGAAGTAGAATTCTTAGTCAGAGTTTGTATTTTCTGAAGAGTGGGTGTCTTCAAGACTTGAGTGAATAGGTGGCTTATGGGTCGACGTGCACCATCGTAGGCCACATCATCGCTTAGCACCAGGCGAGATAGTGGTCAAACGTCAGTCCCATCTAATATTAATAATTCAATATATATATAAAACTTTATCCATAATTATATCTGCAAAGCAATGCACATTCAATCCTCCTAAGATAAAAGTCAGTATCATACACGCAATTTCGTCAAATGTACGAATTCGAACATCTTGTTTTATCTCAAAAAGAAAATGTTTATTCTTTTGCGGAGATAAGGGTGAATTTGCTATGTTGACCTCTCAGATTGACACTTCGATGCTTCTCAACTCTGCGCTAATGTAAATTAATCTTAAATAATCCTTGTTAATTATGTACTTAGATTTTTTTTAATCGGCCTGCTCCTTACTTTACGCAACGCAACAACTACTTACTCAAACAACACATATTTTACTTATTCCGAAATATTTACACCCTTTTGCGACATTTTAATTAGACAGACAAAGCACTTAATATACCTACTACTGTTACAACTAATACGTCAAAAATCTCAAATCGCACATTTTATTATTCACTAAATACATTGTTCACCATTATCACCACTACATTCGTCAAAAAATAAGTATACAATCTTTATTGTACTCTAAAAATAGGTGACACATTTGTTTCGATTTTTAAATATCGAACCTTAAACCGAAGATTCCTGTGGTCTAGATATGGCAAATCCATGATAAATCTTTGCTTGTGGTAGAAAAGTAGAGATCAATATAATGCAGGCCTAACATTAATACAACAGACACTTGCTACACTTATACAATGACATTGTTTTATACATAAAAGTATTTGCTTTGGTTTTTTTATATTGATGGGCCGACGGTTGCTAGTTGGTAAGTGATGATGTTTATTCTAAGTGATACTGTTATTTAAGTCTGATTAATAATATGAATTTACTGTGCAATAATTTTGCTAATTTTGAATCTATTTAACTAAGATGCACATTGCAGATACATATCATTTAATTGTATTAATAACTTCCTAGGTAGAACTAGTACGTTTAGATAAATTTACTTTAGCAATAAAATGCAATATGTTTACTTGTAAGCAGGAACTACAAATAAATGTGTATAGTGAACACATTATTGTTGATCATAAAAGTGTACATTTCATGATGTACCTTACGTTTAAATTATATTATCTATAATTTATAGGCTACCTAAAATAATATTTAAATATTGTAATATAATAAAAATAAATAGAACAGACATACGAATATATATATATACACTAGCTGTTCCCCGCGACTTCGTCCGCGTATAATAATGACTTCTGGCAAATTTTGCATTTTTTAATTATTTTTCCCCAAGGTTAATTACAATGCTGAGTAACAAAATTCATCAGAATCAATTTAGATAGATTTATTGTAAATTTGTCTTTTATTTTCGTAATTACAAAAAATAAACAATACCAAGGGGATTTTACTCGTATTGTATCCGTTCCCGTGAGGTTTCAGTGATTAAAACTTCATTTGAATTCTAATCAAATAGGTACAGCGGTTGAAAACTATCAGGCGTCATTTTACGAGTTTTAAAAACTATCGTTGTACCGAATTGCACTCAAATATGTTCGTTCAGTGGTTTATGCAATGCAATAGAGAGTCCCGTCCCTGTCATAGTTCCTGTCCCGTAAAATTTCCTTTCCAGTGCCAATGTCTCAAACTCTCGTTGAACCGAATTTCAATCAAATAGGTTCAATGTTTAATAAAATTAGTATTCAGCCTCTTTAGACACCATAATGTTGTATCATGATAGGTAATAAAAAATAAATTGTCAATAATCCATTGGCATGAAACTCACTTGTCAGATAACATAGAAAGGTATACTTAATATAAATTTGTTTACGTCTGTTTGTTTTGTTAGAAATTGACGTGATTTTTTTTACTGAGTTGAGGTAGTAGAAAGGATTGAAAGTAGCATAGGCGATATTTTGTTTCTTTCTAACCCACCACTTCCCTAAAACAGGGGCTGGAAGTTGGTATGGAGCATTTCGTAATTTTCAAGAAACCTAAAATTAGTATCATATTTGTGACCAGGAAAACATCGGGCACCAATTCTTTTCTATCTTTTGTAAACCTGCAGTCAATACTTTTAAAAAGCGCGAGCGAAACCGTGGGCAAAAACTAGTCCATGAATAAAATGTAATCAGTTAATTGAATTCATATTGTTTCTTTAAAATCTCTGATTATTATATATATTATGATGCAGCTAAATACTACTATTAGTTCTTGAAAACAGTTTTCTATTGGCAGTCAAAGGCTTAAGCAATATAATGAGTTTTTTGGTAGATTTTTTACACATTCGGTTACATTATCGAAATATTCACACGGTTCTCTTTTTTCTGTTTTATTAGATATAGCCTATGTTCAGCATCTATAATGTAGGATTCCAACGGTAAAAGAATTTTTCAAATCGGCCCGGTAGTTTCGGAGGAGATGTCACTCAAACAAACAAAAAATCAAATCTTTCTTCTATAAACTGTTATAGTATAGATATATATACGTATGATAGGCAAATTAGGTACCATATTCAACCATACTATTTTGAGTTTCCTATAAAAATGGTATGCAGTATTGCCACAAGAAAATATTAACCACACTGTATAATTCTGTCATGATTAGGAATATATGACATTTAATTTTGTGGCAAGAATATTTTTAAAATGAGAATATACAGATAGATATAATATTTTAAATTAAAATAGGGAAAATCATTAATTCATGTACCTAACTACCTACAGAGCTGAGCACACTTTCACCACATAAAGCACTGTAAACTTACTACAGTATGTTACTGTCTTTCTTACCAGCTCATTAGTTTTGTTATCTATATATCATTACTCTTTAGCCTCTTGTAGCTTTTAATAAATCTACTAGTCAAGCATGTTTAATGTCAAATGCTTAGGCCGACCTTACACCATTTACGAGGCATTTTCAAATTCCTCCACTAATTGATTTTTACGAATATGCAAGAATACTTTGCATCCTTATATTTATATACTATACACACGTTAACAGCTTTAATTTACTTAATAGTCGATATATCCTCATCAGAAAAAACAGAAATCATGATAGAATATGTCTATAAATCAATTTGTGCATAGCTTTAAGATACCAATTCGAATTAAATATGCAGTTAGTGGTTACTGATATCATAAATAGCAGTATGTAGTTGTACTTAAAATACATCCAGCAGAGCTCTCAAATCTTTAAATATTTATTTTGTTTTTATCATTAGTAGCTGGACTTCCGCAAATAATATTACATGAATTATGCCTAGTTTTTCGAGTACCATCTCCGTCGCAATCTGTTCCAGCAGCTACAGATGTCAGTGCGACCGTTTTATCAAAATCAATAGTGGTGTATCCTATGGCAGCAGATGGCGCAGCTGTGGCGTTGTTGGCAAGATTCACTTTTTCTACACTGCACTGTGAAACGAGACGTCCTCGAGGCTGAGATGAACATGAAGCAACACTTTCATTTTTTGAACTGCTAAAGGACTGGCTCTCTGGCGAAGTTAAATCTCGCGTCATCTTAACGATTTCCTTATTAGAATCAATATCCAATATCGCGTAGTTAACTTCCAGTTCCTCCACAGGTGACATCGATGTAAATGTATCAGACTCAGAAAATTTTTGATTGTGTTCACTTGGTGCAGAGAAGCTTAATATTTGTTTGGCGTTTTTAGCATTTTCACCCAAATCACCTAGAGACAAGTTTGCATATGTATTTAATATCTCTGGTTTATTCCCCACTGTTAGATTGCAATATTCCACTTGTTTAGGTGTTAATGGAGTGGTAGGGACAGTATCAGTCTTACTGATATCTGGGAGATTAGAATCAACGGGAACAATGTTCATATAGAGCCTGGCAGACTCCTGCTGCAACAGTAGCAGCTGCTGTTGTTGGTACTGTTGTTGCTGCTGTTGTTGTTCCAAACTCAATTGTGCATAATGTTCACTAGAGTTACTCAATGTTGGTGATAGAGGGCTGTTAATTTGTTTATTTGAACCATTATCATTCATGTATCTACTTTCAAGAAATCTGGTTTCATCTTCAATGTCTCTCATTGTGTTCAAAGCGGTTTCTTGGCGCAGCGTATTCCGTAGGATTGCTAAATCTCTATTAATATCATTTGAGTAAACATGCCTATTATCTGGGGCACGGTTCTCCAGCAGACTTTCACCCTGATTGTTATTGGGTTCCCTCTTAAAATCTCTTAATTGATAGACATTGGTGACTTGATTTGTACTGGATTGAGACCGTGGATACAGAGGCATCACTTCTAAAATATCTGCACTGGATGGTGACCTTGGAGACTGAGAAACATTTCGTGCAACTTGTGCATTTGGTATAATGGTTGGTAAATTATTGTTCATTACAGGTCGATTATTATCAGGTTGGCCATTATCTATAGAAGAACGATGAACTACACTTGCCTGCAATGTTTGCCTGCCTTGAGGTGAGGGAGTTAATCTTGATACAGGATATGGTACAGAATCATGTATCACATTTCTTAATTGAATTTGTTGCTGTAGTGTGCGAAATAATAGAGATGCTCTTCGACATCTAAATGCATATATGCCTTCCCCCGTCTCACATCTTCTGCCTGAAATTATTAAAAACAAATTGTGTAAAAAAAAATTGTTTTAGTTTATTAGGAAGAAAACAAAAAGATTCTCCAGTCTTTTGTAATCAAACTAACTTGAATGTCAACAGTTTTGTTAAAATCAAACCATCTCAATAATTTTCTTCGTTAACACAATTATTTTGAAAGTTTAGTTTCTTATAATCCATTTATTTCTATTTAAATAAATAAATAAAATAAAACTTCTTTATTACCAACCTAAAGCATACATGTTAATCCAGTATACAATGACGACTGTACTAGGCACAGCCTATGTCGCGGCTGTTAAAATACAGTGATTTCCTTAGGACTATTCTAATATTTAATAAATTCATAAGAAAAGAAAAGTGAGTAAGTGTGTGAGTGTGTGTGAATGGATGTGTGCATAAGAATGTGTGTGTGTTTGTAGACGAGAGCCTGTCGTGAAAAGTAGACCAGTAGACTTTAACAATAGTTCTACTACGAGATAATTTAAGTCAACCAAATATTTTGTGTTCTTTTCGACTTCAGTTCGCACACAGTGTCGTCCCTGAATTGAATTTACAGTTTTTATAGATTTTGTTAAACAAATTCGGAAACAGATAAACAGAGAATCTTTGTGCAAATGAAGTTTTAACTGCAGTTACCTGGATTCTATGAGTTCTTCTCTTTAGTAAAATTTGGTACGTTTTAGAGTTTGGCATTTCCTTATGTGTACAACCAACAGCAGCGATTATAAAAATATGAAATATATATATAAATATATTACTAATTACATATATGAAAACTTTATAAGTTAAATAGCAAGATAACTCTTTCATTAATGAAATAGAAGGACCCGAATTTGGTAATGTTAATTTGGTAAAAAGCATAATAGTTGAATCCTATGTGACTGCAGCAATGTAATTCTGACATATACCTGATTCAAAGCTGAATATGTCCCCTTCAAATCCATATCTTCTCAATGAATGCAACGGCCACACTGTAGAGTCTCTGCCTTCTCTATACAAAATGATATCAGACTCTGTAATCTCCAGCTGACCAGAGCATAAATCGGCACCATTTTCGTCAATATTTACAACACGGAACACATTAGGATGCAAATCTGAAGTTTCCTTTTTGCTATGTAAACACCCCATTACATTTCAAAGCCAACTGCCATTCATATAAAACCTAAAAATTTAAACAAAAGATATGTTAAAATTTATTATATTCCGATATGAAAATACAATTATGCATCTCATTTTAGGTCGGAGTTGGAAACGCAATTCAACTTGATTGCGTTAAAAAAAAGAGCGTATGGTTATTCTGTAGTGATTAACTATAATAATAAATAATCAATCACATTAAATTCAACGCCTACTAAAGATATTTTCATTTGTAATAATTAGTGTATGGAAAAAAACAGTAGTCCTTTATCGCTATCTTTTTGATCAAAATTTGTTTATTTAAATATTATGCATTTACCAAAGTGCAGAGGTAATAGAGGCCTTTCTTTGTTCCTGTCTTATCAACAAAAGATATTATTGTAGAGAAGAGAAGACGAAAATCTTTATAGAATAAAATAAACTAACGAAACAGATAGGCACCCAGGTACCTGTGCCCCACTGTGACGTGACAGTGACACTACTTTAATCTATGACATTGACATGAGTTATTAGAGATGTCATTTCATAGATGAATAATAGGGGATATGCCGCAAGTTGCATAATATACAATTTTGGTTATACAAATATCATGCAAATATGAAGCTAATCAACAAAAATATATCTGTCTCATTCTTACACGTTGTAAATTTCATATGTAAAATGAGATAAGCATAAATCATAATCTTCAATTTCTGGTAACATTTTTCATATGACGTCACCAAGCTCCGCCTTGAGGCCCATTCCGCCATTTAAGAGAGACACATTCCGGTCATGTTTTGGGTAAATCATCTGTCAACAATACGGTTTTTGGAAATATTTTCGGTGTTACAGTGGACTGATTCGATATTAAAACGAGTTTTTTTGCCAATAAGTGAAATTAATCTGAACTGAACTATCATGAGCAAGTGTTGCATCAAGGGATGTAATTCAAATTCACGTAAAAATGAGAACCATTGTCATGTTTTAGGTTCGTTCTAATTTTCTTTCTTATTTATGTATACTTCTTGTTTAAATTATGATAGAAGTCTTTATTATGACTTCTAATTCGGGTTTCCTGCTATTATGTATACTTTCACAAGACTGTTATCACATAAATTAAACTAGTAACATTTTAATTGTTTACATTTTATTCATAGTGTTGATCTTCGTTTTATAAAGTTATCGATATCAGTATTAGCAATAATATTGGCATAGCTGTCTGGTTAACAAAAATGTACGGTATATTTAACAGTATTAAATGAAAATATTGATATACAGCCTTTTATTTAAGACATGTTTGAGAGTTGTTGTTTTATTTAAGAGAGTTGAGTGGCGTCCTAAAATGCATAACTACAATATTTTAGTTGTTTTCGTAAACTTTATTTAATTTGCACATAATGATTATTAAATTTGATTTTAGATTTCCTAAAAATTAAATTCTAAAGGGTGGAAAAATAGGCAAGGAGAATATAAAACATGCATCAGTATTAACAATATTCTCCAACCATTTTGAAGAATATTGTGTGAACAGAACATTGAATATTATTCGACTTCAAGACAACGTAATTCCTACTCTTTTAGAGAATGGCAAAATTTTCAATGACATCATCAGTGAACATGAGAGTTCTCATAAACTGTCTTACATATTTAGATATAAGATATAAATATTACGGCAAAAAGCGTGACTAACATGTTTCAAAAAAAAATTTTTTACAAAATTAATATGTTTCGCCATGAATATATTATTATAATCAGCAAAACGTTTGAAATTTATTCATTATAATACACACTGACCTACCCCTGTCCCCATTCCAGCGTACTGTTTCACATTACAGGAAAACGCACGGTGTTCTATGGTATTTTTAGTTGTCTGACTTTATATAGGTTTATGAAATAAGTTCAGTCTACGTGATTTTGGAGCAACGTTCTATAGCCAACATTCTCTGGAAGGGTCAGATTTTTTTATTAAAGTACTCGCTTAAGAATCTTATATAAAGTTATCGTTGAACCAAGGTTTTAATAGTATTGGTATTTATAATATTAGTGAGATTATGATTATGTGAATACTTTACCATCAATCATCTCTTTTAGCAATTCTTTTATTTCTTTGTTTCGAATTGAACTAAATGATGTTATAATTGTATATTTAAAATAATAACATCAATTAGTTGCCTATGTCGATATATTATGTCGACGTAGGTACAACACTATTGTGGGCGGAGATCCGCCATTTTTGAGGTATTTTTGGCTTCAAATCACGTGATCATATTTCCAATCCCCTATTATATATCTATGTGCTATTTTAAATGTGAAAATCATTGAGAATGTATATTTTTAACACTTATGATTTTTTTTAAGGGTGGAAAATCACTCCCTCCCGCCAGGGTGAGGCTGACTCTTACTGACTAAAAACCACTCCGTTCCTTCTCCTGCACGTCGAGCCGGAGCCCCGGTTACCGGTTAGGTTCTCCGCGACTTCGAATCGGCATCGGCCCTATTGGGCCCCATCTATGGTGGTCTGATAGCTCTTTGAGGCGCGCGCGGAACGCGACGCGCCGTACGCTCGGGTTAACACTGATGATTACGTTATATTAAAACATTTTAATTTGTTATTTTGAGCTTCGTTATTACTAACTCATTGACTCGAATCAAGATCACTCTTTTCACTTTTTCGCTAAAATATTAATTTAAGGTCAATTCGGTCCGCCTTTCGTATATTTCTTTAATTTTTTGTTATGAGTAGGTAGCATGAATCTTTTATTTACAAATAATATAGACTTAAATACTACCTATTACTAAATAAATACAACAAGATAAAAATTAAATAAAAGATAACTAAAAATAACTATAACTATATATACAAAACATCGAAAAATTTGCTCGCATCGACGTCAGTAGGGAAAGTACCAATAATAATGCACTCACGATAGTGTTTCTTTTTACTTTTAATTTACTTCGACTACCTGCTGGCTGCTAATATTATGTTATACAATATACAGCCATGTAACAGCGATTCGATGTTGAATGACTCAACTTTTCGGCTTGCTGCTTGCTTGCGTGTAGGTGCACCCTGTGTTTCTCCGCATCGCTGTCAATGCGGTGAGTTGGTCGACCACCTCGGCCTATCGTGTAGCAGAAGCGCGGGCCGGATAGCCCGACACTCCAGCATTAACGACATCATCCGTCGAGCTCTTGTCATCGCCGGTGTGCCAGCTGTTCTGGAACCAAAGGGTTTGGCACGCGACGATGGTAAGAGACCCGACGGTATGTCCATTATGCCCTGGAAGCTGGGAAAGTCTTTGGTGTGGGACGCAACCTGCGTCGACACCCTTGCACCTTCTCATCCTCCAGTAACGGCGAGCTGTGCTGGTTCGGCTGCTGCCTCTGCAGAAAACCTCAAGCGGCGCAAGTATAACAACCTTGCTGGTAGTTATATCTTTGAGCCGTTTGGGGTTGAGACGTTAGGTCCGTGGGGTCCGATCCGAGTGCGCTTAAATTGTTCAAAAACATTTCGAAACGCCTGGTCGACACATCTCGTGACCAGAGGGCTGGTCTTTTTCTCGGTCAGAGGTTAAGCATTGCCATACAACGTGGCAATGCTGCCAGCCTTCTGGGTACTTTCCCCACTGACGTCGATGCGGACAAGTTTTTCGATGCCTTATAAATAGTTTATTTTTCCTATAATTAATTTTAATCTTAAGTTGTATATATTTAATTTAGTAATATTTAGTTTTAATTTTATTTAAGTAATAGTTGTTATTTAAGTTTTTATAGAAATAAACCTTTTATCCTGTAACAGCTGATGTTGTAAATATTATTATGTCAAGTCAATTATGATCGAGTGTCAATGTGTCAAGTCAAAGATGTGCGATGTGCCAAAGTGCTCCACAAGTCACACCAGAGCATCACCAGTCTAATACACAGTGACAACTGCCATTTTGACTAATTGGAATTTACTTGCTTTTTGGTTTTTTTATTTACCTTCTCTGTTGAATTACTAGTGATAATTTAGCTTGTGTTCATTGTTTAAACTATATCATCTCACTATTTCTATTGATAAGGAGTTTGGGCCTCAAAAGCTCTATTTTCCAAACAAAGAGAATAAACTAATATTCTCAAAATGTCTTGTCAAGTGGAACAAATAGCTGATTGCGGCGATTTATCCAGTTTAGGAAGAGCTCTATTTATATCTGAAAAAGAAGGTATTGAACTACTCTTCAGGAATTATCAAAATTCTCATTTTGGTTGTTGTTATTTCACTGTATTCAAGTTTCAGATGAAAATTGGCTTCCCCAGTGTACCATATCTTTGTCTTCATGCAGCAGTTTATTGGCTGTTGGGTATAAAAACCGTCTATGTTTATTAACCAATCAATGGATTAGTCTTACAAGTAGCCGCACATTCATTATTTCATGGAGTGGAACATTGCCTTCAGACATAACAGCTATTCTAGCATTAGCCATATGTCCATCACAGCATTCCTCCCAGGTGAATATTGAGTTATCTTTAAATATCTCTTTAATATGCGTTAGTGACTAATCAATGTTTATACTTTCTGTGTACCTTCCTATATCGATACTAATGAATGTTAAAATTATCAAAATTCTTTGTGTAATTGTACCTTTACTGTATTTGTTGTTTTCAGACACAGTTAATATTCATATTGAATCTGAAGTGTGGAGTGCCCCAAAGTTAAAAACTACTGTTACTTACTGATTCCCTCTTTACTATTACAGAATGGACCTGATTGGTTTTGTATAATAGTTGGTTTTAAAAATGGCAGTGTTGGTTTTTATACTGATACAGGACACTTGCTTTTGCTAGAAAAATTAGATGACTTTCCAGTTATGAAGATTTCTTGCCATACCGGAACTTATGGAACCTTACCTGATGATATACACATCCTGTTTTCAACTTGCGAGTGTATTGTCACAGGTTCAAGCCTGTATCAAACACTCAGGAATGCAAAAGCACAACTGGCAAGAGGTATTTATAATTGTACCTAATTGTAGTACATAAGTAAATGATAAATATAATAATATGAATAAGAAAAGTATGAAATCCAATCCAAAAATTTATACAGTGAGAGCTGGTATTCAAGGGGACTATTCAGTCGACAGTCGTAGTATCAATATACGAAAATGGACATTCTGTGAACAAGAGGTTATAAACGATGCTTCTGTGGTGGGACTAGACCTCAAGAACACCTATGATCATTTGTTAGCAGCATCCACATATGGAGGATATGATGTTTGGTAATTTAAATTTTGTATTTTTCCTTAAATTTTTTGGGGCAATTAAGTATTATGTAAGCACCAATTTTCTGTTTTGGTTATTTGGGTGATGTGGGGGGTAGAGAGAGTTTAGATGATGATTACTTCATCGGTAGTTATAGTTATTTACTTTTTTACACAAACGGCAACCCTCATTGAAATTATAAATTACAAGCATAGACCGACAAAGAACTAGACATTATGGTATCTAAGAGAAAATTAAAATTACAATATACAAAAGATATAATTTAAAATGTTTACATAAGGGGGAGGTAAGATCTTTTTGTACTTATGCTGACAAGGGGATGGGGGGGGAGGTAAATAATTGTAAAAAATCTGCTTACGTAATATTTGAATGG